AGAGAGAGAGACGAGTCCCCCCCTCTCCATTCCCTGCCCCCTCCCCCTGCATGCCCCCGACCCTCTCTCCCCTCCCCCGCATGTGTGCGTGTCACCCACCAACGGTGTTGTACTGGTATTGCTGCAGGTGTTCGTAGATGACTCGGTGAAGTCTCACTCCCAGCTCTGTTAGCGCAGCCTCCACGTTCTTGCCGTCGAGGCTGTCTCGTGCCGTCTCAATGAGACGGTCCACGAAGCGAACCACCTTGCTGCACGCCTGCAGAAAACAAACCATCATCAGGCCACAATTAAAACAAATCTTTGTTTGCCTTCACCCGACCCAGGCTGAAAAGTTTGGGTAGGTAGTTAGGCTTACATTTTTTTTGAGGGGGGTCTTTTTACAAATTCATCATGGTGTCGACATCCTCAGGTGTGCTTGTGTGGAGGTACCTTTTATGTTTGTTTGTTTTGCTTGGTAAATATAATGTATTGCCTACAGATTTATATAATGCACAGTGATACAATTTGTAAAAAAAAGAATGAGAAAGATCAATAAAAATGTTTGAGTCAGCCCCTTTTTGGCAGGTCGGTCAGGTGAGGGCAAACAAACAATATTTTTATCATGGCCTCAGTATTGGAGCTTCAGGGAGAGAGATCAGGGCCATGCTGATGACAATACAGGGGAAGGTGTTACTGGGCAGCAATGCAAGTTGGGTAACTCAATGCAATTCTTCATTAATTTAATTAACATTAACATAGTACATACAGTACATACACATGTATAATAGATAGGGTGCATATACATGTATAATACATAATAGTACAATATCATGTATATTACATGACGTATGTATACATATAGTAAATATACATGTATAAAACATATAGTAGAGTATGGTACATTACATTACGTGTAAATGTGTAATACATCTAGTAGAGTACAGTACATTACATTATGTGTACATGTGTAATACATATAGTAGAGTACGGTACATTACCGGAGTGCAGTTCGCGATGAGGCCTCTGTCTCCGTCCGGTTTGAAGTCAGCTTTCTTCTGTTCGCTGGACAGCAAGTACTTCACCCAGCCGACCTGAGCGTTTAGCGACCTGAACAAAACAAGAGAACATCAGGGAGACTGCTCGAAGGAGCACCGTGGAGCGACAAGTGAGTCGGTTCTTGGCAGCAACGATCATGTCATTATTAGCCGGGGATGTGCTGCCACCTGGTGGCAGGTGCCACGCTCACCTGTCCAGCCCCGTGTCAAGCTAGTGCTGCCACCTAGTGGTGGCACACACTGAGCAGTCCAGCCCCGTGTCTAGCTAGTGCTGCCGCCTGGTGGCACGCTCACCTGTCCAGCCCCGTGTCGAGCTAGTGCTGCCACCTGTCTCCCCCCACCTCCCCCGCACACCGGTGCTACCACCTGGCGGCGCCGCGCTCGCTCACCTGTCCAGCCCCGTGTCGAGCTAGTGCTGCCACCTGTCTCCCCCCACCTAGAGAGAGGGAGGGAGGGGCAGAGGGTAGGAAGGGAGTATAATTATTTCGAATATTTTATTCGTTTAAATTTCAATATATTTCAATCGTATTCACTCCACACTTTTTGTATATACATCCTAATAATAACTTTAATGTAGTGGGCTCTGGTAGGTTGAGCATTGTTGGCTCAGATGAGAGAGAAAAACGCAAACTACGCCAATCCATCTTTAGGTTCAATATCATTATGTGCGATATGTAGTTGAAAAACTGAGTATTTCACAATCTTCCGGTGTCGGAGTTAGAAGTTTATATAATGGGGGACCGTACTCTTTTGGATTCACAATGTTTTCATAACTAGCAAAAATGAATCGCTAGCATAGAAATAGGCGTGCTGTACGAAATACTAGCACTGTATGCGATATCGCGCCCATTCTCCAATACACAATGTGATGACTACTAATAATGAATAAGCATGGGTGAAATACTAATGTACGTACTTGAACATTTTTACGAAGTTACCTATTTTGACACGTTCTGGCGCTTGCGACACGGCTTGTGCCTCAGTCTTGTAACAACCAGGCGCGCACACACGCACGCACGCATAACCATGCACGCACATGCACGCATAACCAGGCACGCACACGCACGCATAAGCACGCATAAGCACGCATAAGCACGCACGCATAAGCACGCACGCACACGCACGTACGCGTGCACACTTATGCACGTATGCGTGCATACACATGCAAGTATAAGCGTGCACATCGATGCACGTACGCGTGCACACGCATGCACACACGCACATGCATGCACGCACGCGCCACGTACACACACGCGCACGTACGCACACGCACGCACGTACACACATACACGTACGCACGCACACGCACGGGCTAAAACCGCCAGATTTCGTCGAGGCGGCTATTCAAGCAAAAACAACGTTCACTCCGTCTGCACATCGTTAGCGAAAAGTTACAGCCGATATATATGCAGCCGAATAATACATATCGCTAGATTCCAGATGAAACACACACGCACGCACGCACACACGCACGCACGCACACACGCACGCATGCACGCACGCATGCACGCACGCATGCACACACATATATATGAAAATATAAACATAGAAAGCGATAGCTTCTTTTATTTTGCAGGTTTTCGAGAACACGTTTTTTCGTTATCTCTCTCTCTCTCTCTCTCTCTCTCCCTCTCTCTCTCTCTCTCTCTCTCTATCTCTCTCCACTCCCTTTCTCTTTCTCTCTCTATCTCTTTCTCTTATTTTCTCCGTCTCTCTCTCTCTCTCTCTCTCTCTCTCTACGTGCGTGCGTACATGCAAAAATAGCGTGATAAACTCGATTCAAATTTAGGACTCGTTTCACAGTGACATCACGAGGTGCGATTGTAGGTGTATTACAGGTGTAATACAGATGTATTACATGTGTAATACATCTGTATTGCAGGTGTATTGCAGGTGTTTTACAGGTGTAATCAGGAGTCTATCAATAGACTATCTATTGATAGACTCCTGGTGTATTACAGGTGTATTGCAGGTGTATTACAGATTTCAGACGTGCTAATCGTGATCACGCTGCTACGCGTGTTGTAACGCAATCAGTATCGTTATCGTTTATCAAAGGCCGAAATGTTGTAAAACGCACACGCAGTACAACCGATACAGATAAATATACAGATACAAATAAAGATATAGATACAAGCACGACCACATGACGTTGTCGTATGCATATTTATTTGATCGGGTTATAAATAATCGGCAGAGTCACTAATGTGATTATACATTGCATAATTATTATAATGTACTTGTGATAAATACCTACAATCGCCACCGATCACTCCGGTGACCGCCACTCGAGGGCGCTGCGAGCAGCCGTATCGCATCGCAGTCGCCGTGTACACCCAACATGCGCCTGGACCGTTTAATAACAAAATTATAGTAAACAAACACAAATTGTAGGCAACACCCAAGGCCATGTACCATCTACCAATTTATGTACCATCTAGTAGGGGGTAGCAGATAAGAGATAGAGAGAGAAAGAGAAAGACAGACAGAGAGAAAGAGAGACAGGGAGAGGAAAGAGAAGATAATAGACAGACGAGAAACGAGAAAGACAGCAGAGGAGACATAAGACGACAGAGAGAGGAGAGAGAGCAGACAGAGAGAGAGAGAGAGAGAGAGATGAGAAGAGAGCAGACGCAGAGAGAGAGAGATGAGACGACGAGAAGAGGCAGAGAGAGAAGAGAGAGAGAGTAGCGGAGAGAGAGAGAGAGAGAGAGAGAGAGGAGAGCAGTAGAGGATCCCCCTCTCCATTCCTGCCCTCCCCCTGCATGCCCCCCGCGACCCTCTTCTCCCCGCCTTCCCGCATGCCTGTGCGTGTGCCACCCAGCCGACGGTCGTTGCTCTGCTGCTATTTGCTACCGCAGGGTTCGTAGATGATCGTGAACGTTCACTCCAGCTCTGTCTAGCGCAGCTCACACGTTCTTGCCGTCGAGGGCTGTCTCGTGGCGCGTTCAATGAGGACGGTCACGAAGCGAACCACCTTGCTGCCACAGCCTGCAGAAAACAAACATCGATCAGGCCACAATTAGAGAACAAATCTTTGTTTGCCTTGCACCCGACCCAGGCTGAAAAGTTTGAGGTAGGTAGATTAGCGCGTTACATTTTTTTTAGGGGGTCTCTTTTTAACAAATCCATGCATGGGTCGACATCCTCAGGTGTGCTTGTGTGGATGGCTACCTTTTATGTTTGTGTTGTTTTGCTTGATGAATATAATTGTGTATTGCCTACAGATTATATAATGCCAAGTGATCACACTTTGTATAAAAAACAGAATGGAAAGATGCAATAAAATGTTTGAAGTCGGCCCCTTTTTGGCAGCGTCGGTCGCGTGAGGCAAACAAACAATATTTTTATCATGGCTGCAGTATTGCGAGCTTCAGGGAGAGAGTCAGGGCCATGCTGATGAGCAATACAGGGGAGAGTGTTAGCTGGGCCAGCAATGGCAAGTTGGGTTTAACTCAATGCAATTCTTTCATGTAATTTAATTAACATTAACATAGTACATACCAGTACATACACATGTATAATAGATAGGTCGGCATATAGCACTGTATATACTACCTAATAGTACAGTATCGATGTATATTAGCATTGCGTATGTATACATATAGTAAATGATACATGTATAAACATATAGTAGAGTTATGGCTACATTACATTAGGTGTAAATTGTGTAATACATCTAGTTAGAGTACAGTACATTAGTATTATGATGACATGTTGTAATACAGATGTAGAGTACGGTACATTACGGAGTGCAGTTCGCGATGAGGCCTCTGTCTCCATCCGGTTTGAAGTCAGCTTTCTCTGTTCGCTGGACAGCAGTGACTTCACCAGCCGCACTGAGCGTTTAGCGCGACGCTGCAAAACAGCGAGAACTATGCAGGGAGACTGCCGAAGGAGCACTGTGGCAGCGGCAAAGTGAGTCGGTGTCTTGGCAGCAACGATGATCATGTCATTGATTAGTCGGGGACGTGCTGCCGCCTGGCGGCGCGCTCTCACCTGTCCAGCCCCGTGTCAGAGCCCTAGTTGCTGGGCCACCTAAGTGTTGGCACGCACTGAGCAGTCCAGCCCGTGGTCTAGCTAGTGCTGCCGCCTGGTGGCACGCTCACTGTCTGTCGCAGCCCGGCCCGTGTCGATCTAGTGCTGCCACCTGTCTGTCCCCCGGCCCCGCCTCAGCGCACACCGGTGCTCCACCTTGCGGCGCCGCAGCTCGCCGCTCACGGGCTGTAGGCCCCGTGTCGAGCTAGTGTTCCTGGCCACGCTGTCTCCGCCCACCTCTCCCCACCCCACCGTTGCTGGCCGCCTGGCGCGAGCGCTCTCACGCTGTTCCACCGCGTGTCGAGCCTTCGTCTCCGATGTGCATCTCGCGTCACTGCTTCACCCGTCAGGCAGGCCGATTGTGCGTGGGCGTCGTGGCGACGAGAGGCACGACGCCGTCGCTTAGCAGCTTCTCGAGAGGCTGAAGATGCGCGTTCGACTGCGCGCGACGTTCGAGAATACGAGTCGGCCCTGGCTTCGGGTTTCGGCCGGCGAGGATCCGGCTGGGAGAGATAGGAAGGAGCCCGCGCGGTCATTAACAAGTCGAGCAGAATGGCTGTGAGAGATAGAGGGAGCCACATGTCGTACAGGATCGCTGCGAGAGATAGAGGGAGCCACGCGTCGGTCATTAACAAGTCGGGAGTGTCTATATTCAGGCCGGTACGGGAGATTACGGTACGCATATGATTTGCTAATATATTGACTAATCGTGCGTCAATAAAACTCAATTTCACAGAGAGTATAGCTGAAGACATGTGTCTATAGTATGCTAGATTTTACGAAATTTAATTCAATCGCTGTAATTCACCTTGCCGGCGCCATAATTTGCATATTTGACTTAATCGTGCGCAATAAACATCAATATTCACAGAGAGTATATGAATTCAAGCCCGGTACGGGAGATCATTTGCATAATGATATTCTATCTATACCTATAGACCAGTTTAGCTATACTCTCTGTGAATATTGAGCTTTATTGACGCGCGAGTTAGTCAATATCATTTAGCAAATATATGCGTACCGCCTAATCTCCCGTACCGGCCTGAATATAGACACTCCCTAACAAGTCGGGTCGAATGGCTGTGAGAGATAGAGGGAGCCACGTGTCGTATAGGATGGCTGCGAGAGATAGAGGGAGTCACGCGTCACGCGAGATTGTTACGAGAGATAGAGGGAGCCACGTGTCAGTCATTATGTGAGAGGAGGGGAGGTAGATGAGGACGTGTCCGGCCCCTGCTGCGGTTCCGCCGGCAGGATAGCTGCGAGAAATAGAGGGAGCCACGTGTCATGCGGGATCGCTGCAAGAGATAGAGGAAGCCACATGTCATGCGGGATCGCTGCAAGAGATAGAGGAAGCACA